TGAAAACATAAATTGATGTTCAAATTTCATGAGTAGAATTTTTAGTAGAACAAATGTATTAAGTTGTAAAATTAAATTGATTTACCACGAGTTGACTGCATTTGTAGTTGTTTGATTTATATTTTGATAAACCTTGTTATGATGAATTTTGTTGGTATACTTTTGAGTCTTGATSTAACAAACTTTTGATATACCGTACTTTTTCTCAATCCCTTGAAATGCGTTATATAGTACTGTAGTACCTTGGATGATTTGAGATCAAAGAATTATTTTGTATTTACTAAGTATATATAATACTAGCTGATCCTATGTACTTCGTTGCCCGAAAAAAACTGTCATCACTTTAATGATAACCACCAAATAATTATTCAGATTGGACTGCCTGTCTAACAGGTTGCCTAAGTTAGTAATATATCTAGCCGTATTATTTCACATTGATAGAATCAACATTTTACAAAATATTTTTATTATTATCTTATTGTATTTTACTGGATAGATGACGATACCATTTAATTTCTAGGTACTTGATTTGATCAATTCGATTTATTCGAATATTTTTGTCATATTTTTTATTATTAGTTTTGATCACTGCTATTAAATTATTTAAAGCATGATATTATTATATACATACTGTTGAGTGTCGATTTTAATTAAATATAACTAACATAGTTTATAATTTCATAATCACTGGCTAGGCTAATAATTAAAAGTAATTTAACCATGTGTTACATAATCAAATAATTGAATTAAAACGAAATCTTAACAACTACACTTATTCAGTAGAAAACTGGTTATGCATATTTTAGCGCGTTCGGTTCAAGAGATATAAAGGTATAGATTGCATAGGCTAGGTATATAAAAAAGTATGAACAAAAAAGTTGGAGAATTGTCGTTATACTTACTATTACTACTTATTTAAATTTTAGATTCTAAGCGGAGCGATTAATGTATATATTTTTCAATTATGTGTGATTTCTTTGTCTGTTTACACGATATATTATAGTAGAAAAATACGTTTCGACTTTAACTTCAAATTGAATTTAGTTGGTTTAAGTTGTTGAGCTATAATCATAAATTATATAGCTTTATAATTTTGAATTTTTCACTCAGTCAAGGTCTTAGAAATGTTTAATACAAAGCTCAAGTTTTTATTATAATCAAATATTAAAGTTCCACGATAATTTTATTTTCAAATTTTGACAAAATTAGATTTTTAAATAAATAAATATTATTTGTATATATTCAATGACGATTTTAAAACATTTAGATAACTTTATGCTATTGTTTATTTATTATAGTGTATTCCATATTTCTAATAATAAAATAAATTACTATTATATTTAATAGAAATTCGGTAATATACATATATGGTATACCATGTTAACTACTAAAAAACATTTTTCGTGTGCAATTATTTATCAATGGATTCATATTTAACACGATCACAGTAATTTACTCAATGATGAGGTATACTCGATTTCGCGGTTACCTACTTCCCCCTTTTTTAATATTATTTCATAATTAACTAACTCAACCTAATCATCGGGCAATATAAACCTTTTTAACAACATGATTGAGCATAGAATATTTTATGTGATGTTGTCACATTCACTTTTCCAACATTTTTTAATTTATTATTTTCACGTATTTTATTTTGATTACATAAAATAAAAAATATTAACAATTCAGAGAGCCGTAGATATTGTATTTAAAATATTTCATGTTTTCAATCTGTCATACCCTCCAGAGTCTTTTATTGTATGCATAGGCAGAAATCCATAAACATTTCTGGGGGGCTAAATTAACTAAAAAAAAATTATATTCAAATAAAATCACATTTCACATGAAACCTGACAAAATGTTGGGGGCCTATTAAAATATTTAGGGGCTAATCCCCCCCCAAGCCCCCAATTTCCGCCTATGATTTTATGGTTGTTTATTCAAAAGCTATTTTATAATATTTATGATACATTGGATTAACCATAATCATTAATAAGTTTAATTTTAGCTGAACTCTATTTGTAAAATATTGTATTTTGATTGATTTTGTTTAATTTTAAGTTAATATTTTATAACATTTCTGATTATGCCATATTCTGTTATTTTTTTCAATTATATCAAATTTGTATAACTTAATCAGTTTTTATAATTTGTGTAAATATTTACCTATATATTTGATTAAAGATTACTAATTGATTTATATAATATAACAATATAGAAATATGTTTTGTTCCTATATTATCATTTTATTAATTTACTTATAGTTAATACATTTAATAAGTATTAGTAACTTAATTAGGCTTAGCTACGTATCAACTAACTTTAATCTAGTGCAGTAAATATGAATCTTGGTAAGAAAGATGGATAACATTTCTTGATTTTGCATCAATATATTGCATAGGTGAAAGGTATTTTTAATGAACCATATACCATATACCATATTGTTATTGATAAAATCACATTGTTATTTTATCAAATAATTTTCTTATTATAAACATGCAACTTAATTTATTCATACATTATACATGTTAAACCAATAAAGAAATTGCTAAAAAGTTAAACAAATAATAATATTTATAAATAACAATTTTCCTTGTAACAGGAACAATTTTTCAGTTAAAAAAACAATTTTCTATGTTAAAGTAACAACTACTTTTAAGCTGAAAACGACAAAACTATTGTTATGTTTACATAGTTTTTGTGACTATWAATAAACTTTGATTTTCTAGAATTATTACTAGGTAGATATAATAATTAATGTTTTGTCGGTTCAGGAGTGATAAATAAATTGTTAAAACAATGTACATTTTTTTTGTTTTCACGTATGAATTTATTTCAGTGTATTATAACACCAATTTTTATGATATCTGACGCGAGCCGTGATCCGAGATCCTCAGCTTTATCGACAATGTTATCGATTAATAAATTAGTTCCGGAGCAAAACGACGTTTTAAACATTTARCATCGGTGGAAAATATAAGATAATTAAGATACAGTTCCAAAATTATTATAGAAATAATATCAGTGTTCGATCACCTATATATAAGTATAGTGCGTTTCGTATAAGTGCGTTTATAGTTTCTATTTCTTTTATATGGATATAACTATATAAGTGACATAACAATTATTTTATCAGAAAGAGTCTAAGAATTGGCCTTAGTGAATTTATACAAATATAAATTAATTGGAGAGCAGAAAAAAGATAATCTTTTGAGATGGAGGTGTCCGAATAATAAATGTTCAGCAATAATGTTCTCAAGTTTAGATAAACGTCAAATGATTGAAACTTCTGAACAACATAAACACGATCATAATTTATTATATTGAGAAAATAGAAACACAAGTTTTGAAAAAAAATTGCGAGAGAATCTTTTTAGATTACTAAAGAATCAATTTCCACAAGACCACTTAAAAATTTTRTGACACGAGTTTAAGTGTTCGATAATAATAATAATAAAAAAAAAAGTGTTCGAATGAAATGTGTATAGTGTATGAATACTACAAAATGTGTTCAAATATATTATATTCTCAATATAAACATATTTGGATGGGCACTTAGTTTTTTGTTACAATTGATTATTTGTCATATTATTTTAAAAAGAAATATAGAAACTATWGTAAACTAAATAAGTAAAAACGTAAACACTAAAAAGAGGTATCTTCTTGTTTTCTATTTTAATAGATCCATGCATTTTTTAAAGCAAGACTTGTACATACTATCTCGTGATTAAAATTTTAAGATACACACACTTACTACCTATATTCTGAAAYGTTGTAAAAATTTTTATTCTATTTTTGTTATCATCTAATACATAAACGATTTTCATTTGAAACCATTTTTCTTACTACAAGAGAATAGTTGAAACGCAATCTTTCGTTTAATTTACACATTTTTTCCAGCCTTATTTTTAAAAGTTGTGTTGATGACTCTTCGGTTATTACTGATTTGAGAAAAAGAATAGAAAAAATGTGTACAATATATCTAAAATGTAMTAATTGCCTTTAACTTTTGGAAAATATTGAGATCTGGCTTAGGTAAATAAAAATAATATCACATTCAACAAATTTATTAACAATTGTATTCACGAAAAATGTAATCATGCTGAAGCGTCTAGCCTCTGGGTGGCCAATTAAGTTCAAAAGACAAGAACGACAATCTTTTATAAGGTGGTTCAGTGGTTGCAAGCTGTTATGGATATTTATATGTATTAAATTAGACTCTGATAGTAGGTATGTATAATAATAAATGATAATAATTACAATTAGCATTTATTTAATTATTTTTAATTGTATAGGTATGTTTTAACTAAATTTCTGGCGATTTTTAAATGCAATAATTATATTAAATACTACTATACGAATTACACATATAAACTTTATAATTCCTTTTACAATATTAAACTTAAAATAATAATTCCTTTTTAAGCAATTTTTAATTTAAAAAAATATTTAGAACAACAAATTAATCAATAAATACTTATTTACTATGAAATGAGCTTACATAATAATACATTTTTTATTATCAAATAGATATATCTTTATTAGAATTCTAATATGTATTATAAATTAAATGTAATGAAATGTTTACATTATTACCTACTTAACACATAATATTGTACATTCACTATTTATTAACGTAAAAAACTCAATTGATAAATTATCAGGAACTCCTTAAATTATAAATATAATTCGATTTAGAAATGAAATTTACAGTAAAAAAATTATAAATATATTCTACTTAAAAATAGGACATAAAACTAATTAAGGTACACAAAATAAAATAGGCAATGGTTTGTTTGATTTGTCAAAAAGGATAACAATTAGTAAAACATATTTACGGAATGTTGTACTTCATGGTAGCTATATATATTTAATGTGATTAAAATTGAATCCAAGCTTCAAGGATTTGTTCTCTTGTACTTCAAGTCCAGCAGCCCCTCTCCCCACTTGTGAGGGTCTTGTGTGTAGCCATGTAGTATATACACGGACGTAAGCCACAACTAAGCCAAAAACATTCTCTTTAAAATCACCCATAACAGCATCATGAGTCCTATGTAGACAGCGGCTTTGAAGATCATATGATAGATATATAAACTAAAAAACAAATATAAAACAACGATTATAATTGGAATTGTCAATTGTTATTTACAAAGCAATAAATTATAGACCATGAGTTAGAATATAGTGAATCATTATTGAGATATCAACTATCGATAGATAGATATTGGAAAGTATAAAAGTTTTGGAATGGACAATTTTGTTTATTTTTACATAAGTGCAACTATAATTAAGTAGTAGATTTTACAGTTGATTACTGTAGTCATACTAAGTATATATCATATGTTAGAGATGGAGAATTTACGAAAAAAAAAGATATCGTTAAATTTACGAACAATGTGGTAAAAACAGTAAAATAGCTAAATCTTATTAGAGCCATTGTTATTTTTTACTATTAGACATTAGTAAATACGATTTGTATTAGGTACTAATGTTGTATATCTACTTGTTATATCTAGTTCTTTCTAATATTAACAATATAATAATTAACAACAAATTTATAATACCTATTGTTCTGTATTAGACATTAGTAATTAGTACATTTTATGAAATATGAATATTTAATTATTCATATTACAATTAATGAATAATTTAAATTTATGATTGACGTTCGACGTTCGAGAAAAAATAGAAAATATGTTATATGATTAGTAAAATAATTATTGTATTATTATCAGTTGATAACAAAGATATCTCTTTACAATTCAGACTAGGCGTTTTTAATTTCATTTGATTAGAGGGGCCACACAACATGGTTTTTGGTAAAATATAATTTACCAGTATAAAAAAAATTGACGGTAAATTTTTTTACCACTAAAAATTTACCTGATAAATTTACAGCACTCACATCTCTATTATATATTACTAAGAATGCCCGTAATTGGTGAGTGCTGACATTATTTATTATACCTAATATATTGGTTGGAAAATTAAAATAATATAGACATAATATACTTGTGAAAGTTGATATTTACATCAGCTAGGATTTTGGTGAATGTTGAGATGTTGACATAAGTACGTAAGATAGAAAAAATTTAATTATAATTAAATTAATCATAGTACCTAATAATTATTAAATAATATTGAACTTGTATTATTAATTTAAATTTTGATTATTTTGCCATACAAAAATTTAAATTTAAAATTTGCGGGGAAAATTATTGTAATATTATGAAAAACTGTCATGACATTTTGTAGTTCTTAAAATACCAATAGTTCTATAACCACACTCTATTGTGGTTTACTTTGTTTTGCAATTATATCGCGTATATCCTTGCCAGACTGCCACCAATTGATGAATTTGATTCAGAAGGTTAAGGGAATTTGTCGATTATGTTGAAATTATCAAATTGTACAATACCTTTACTGGTTTACTGTATCAATAGGTACTAGAATATTAGATAGTATGGTTAGACTAGATTAAATAATATCGGCATTACCAACATTTACCAGTATCGTTATATAAATGTCGACATTCACTATAGCTTATAAATTATAAATAGTATTTATAGGTACATTAAATCAATATGTTAGCATTCACCATTGACTTTAGTGTACGACGACATTAATCGGCAACTGTCGGCACTCATCAATTGCGGGAATTCTCAGAATCATATACATTATTATAGATAAGTCATACCTGTGAAGACGTTTTCTAGCCTCTGGTAACTTGTCCGGTCCTTCTTTGAGTAAGAATGTCATTATCCCTTTGTGGTACGTATCCAAAAACTCTTCCCAATGCATCTTTTTTATATCGAAAGGAAACAGTGTTTTATCGTCATGGTTTAAACTGTTCCATAAATTTTGTACGTTGTTATTACTGAATATCCATTCCCTCGTGGAAAAGTATTCCAATATGTCAGTGAATCTTCCTATTTTTTTGTATTGATCGACCAATCTAAAATCGTATACGTTAATTACTAATATTATATTATAATTCTGTTAATTTCGGATATCCCCGATTAGGTATATTATATAATCCCTACCACCTTTGCGGAATGAAAAAACCAAAAAACAAACCTGAGTTTATTTCCCGTGCAAATGAACACTAAATCCAACAGGAACGCTGGCAGATAATGTAGTATCAGCACAGTGAGCTTGTGTAAAAGCACCGACGAGTTCATTATCAACGTCGGGTACCACATGGCTTTAGCTGTGGGTCGGTGCAAGATGTAGTACATCAGGGTCGTCGAAAATATTCCCCAAGTCAGTGGGTTTTCTGGCGACGAAACGAAATTGTAGATGCGAGGGTCATCCGTGTGATGATTTTCGATCGATTCACTCAGCTCGGAACGGCGGTGCCTGCAGGAGAAACAGTTTATTATAATAGGTGGTTTATTCATGGAAAGAATTGTAAACGTACCTATATTATATTATGTTATAAAATAATATAATTTTATGGCGGAAAGGATTGCAAGTGATGTACCATCCAAAAATGAATTTTTTTAAGAAAGACTGACATTTTAATGGTTTTTTTAATCAATACAAATGCACCCCTGACAAAATTATTGGCGGCACCTATGATCACACTTTACCATAATATTACTACCTACTATGAATTATTGATAATACTGTAGTTCTTAAATAAAGTTAATTTGAATTAGAATTGAAAAAATGATTTGAAAATGATTATGATATTTGAAAAAAAGGTGTATTTAAATCCATTTCATCATTATCAATTAAAACTCCGTTGCGTAGTCAAAGAGACGCGGGAAAATTGTCTCACCCCTCTGTCCATAGCTATAACAATACATTTTAAATTGGGATAAACATTTAGAAATACACTTGGTTGGTTGCCCACCTGATGAAATTTCTAGCCCTTATTATAGAAACTAGATTTTGATAAAACAAAGGGCTTATATCACTTGACCTTTCCACTACTATTTTAAGTGGCACATGTACGACGAGAGACATATTATTATTATCATACGAATTTAATAATGTAATAGTAAAGGACTGTTATCGTGTGTCGTACCTGACATGTGTGTCCCAGGACGCGGCTATTAGCGCGTTCACAGTCAAATCAGCAGGCACTAGATCCGTGACTGCATTTACATCACATGGCAGCGATTTTATTATACCTGTCATCACGCCAGTCACGATGCCCGTTGGCCCATACAAATTGTCGATCCAACCCGGCAGAGGTTCGTTGGCGGTTGCTATCACTGTGTTTGCGACAAAAAAATAATAAAAATAATAATCGTCTATTATGCATAACATATTATTTAAAAAAAAAAACTTAGCGTTCCTTGTCATTTAACATTTTTAAATAGGTAGGTATAAGCACTTACCGATTGCCGGACGGACTATCGTCACGGGCAGACCCTTGGCTTCACGCTTGATCAGTTGTTCGGCAGCCGCTTTTGTCATGACGTAAGTGTTTGGCATAGGTCCCAACAGGCTAGATTTATAATGGCATCAATATTATATTAGGGTATATCTTTGTGTTCAACAGATTTAAAATTTGTTTAAAAACAAAAAAAAAACAAAAACATTGTGGACAATTTTGACCGATGATTATTTTGTTATCGTACTGATATGGAAATTGTGTAGATAATAATAAGTGCTTAACGAATTTTGAAATATCAATGAAATTAAATTAATGGAATTAATTTACTAGGAACGACGAGCAGGAGCAGTTGTACAAAATAGTGTAAGTATGTAAAATTTTAATACTTACAAAGGTTTCATTTTTTCGAGTATATTTGAACTTTTTGTCTTATAAAGGTGTATGAGTTTTTCATAGTTATATGGTAGATTATAAAACCTTTCTTCTATACATTTATTATGACAGTTGGAGAAAGCCGTCGAGACATGCAAATATGACTAAAAAAAATTGATTTGTTTTTGTGATTCGTAAATAAATATTAAAAAATAGCGATTATAAAATTAATAATTAATTACCGCGAGATTTTCGATTTTGTGAGCAAGTTTAACGATTTCTCTGGCGCCGATCACGTTTATTCCAATGGCAATATCAAGGCGTTCATCAAATCGAACCGTAGCTGCACTATGAAATATAACATTCACCTCTTTGATTAATATATTCAGGTCTTCAACAGATAGTCCCAAATCTGCTTGACTACAGTCACCTCTAAGTGCACTTATTTTCTTTAATCTTGATGCATCGATGTCTTTAAATATCTAAAGTTTTGTTAATCAATATCATGTAATATTTAAAACTATTTATGCAATATAGATCATGTAAAACGTACCGGCATATTGAACATGTCCTCTAGTCTTTCATGTGCATTTTTTCCTTTTTTGTCCCTTACTAGTAGATAGATGTGGTTGATCTGAGGGCATGATCTAATCAATTTGTTGACGATCAGCTTACCAAGAAACCCTGTACCTCCGGTAACGAAGACGGATTTGTTTTTAAAAAACTCTTGGATGTTTGATTGTATTTCAGCCATTTTTGGGCAAGTATAATCGTTACTAAAAAAAAGTAAATCTGTAGATCTAATAAAAAAATAATCAGGTCTTATAGGATACAATGTTAAATAAACTATTCCTAACATTGTGTTTGACCAAAGTATTGTTGAAAGTTAACGTATGTGCAATTGCGCTGTTAGGAACTAAAAATTATAGACGTTATATAACACTATTTTTTTTTTAATGAGAACCGTAAAACTTTATATTGTCACGATTTAAAATTATATACAAAATAAATCGTTCATAGGTTAAAAATATTTAAACATATCAAAAAAAATTCCTTATTCGCATTATTACAATTTTAGTGTGAGTTGTCTATTTAAAATGTCCACTAAGTATTAATCCTATTTATTTTTTTGAAGTGATAATATACAATAAATACAATTTTCATTATATGCATCAAAAATAATTTTTCGTATAGGTACATATAGCTACACGTATGGTCCTGTATTTAAATTGTCATTTGATTTGGTGTTCTTGAATTAGAGAAGGACAATGGAATAATTACTGATTTGTATTTTTATATAACATTATAGGTACCTACTACCTATACCATTATTTACTGCTGATTATCCTAAGTTATTACTAATTTTTATCTTAGTTCAATTATAAAATCTTAGTACAGCATCATTTGAAAATGCTAATATATTACCATCTATATCATATAAATAAAATAAATCATTAACATAAATTTAAATCAGGGGTTAAAGTGGGGGGGGGGGGACGCAGGAGGATTCAGTCCCCTTACCTCTGACGGCGGTTAAAAAGTGTCCCCTTTAACAAATTAGGATTTTATACATTATACATAAAATTATATATGGTCATATGGAACGCTGAAAACTATATGGAGACATAAGTCCCCTCTGGAATTTTTCCCACTTTAACCTCTGATTTAAATTAATATATAGGACTTAATACTGTCCCTTGTACGTCATATTTAACCACACACAAATAATTTACCTATATTATTACAAATAATTTATCACTGACATTAATGTTGGATGTATTAAAAAAATATAGTTTTAACAAATGCCAAAATCTGTTTTTAAGTATAACTTATATCATAATATTATAGTTTAAATCTAGATTCTAGACAAAAGTAACGCATGAGATAATGAATTAAATTATTTAACAATAACTAAGAATTTTATTTTGTTTATACTAAAAATATTTTAATAATAGAGATCTAACCTAACCCGTTCTTAATTATGATATAAAAATAATAAATATATATGATAAATAAATAATATTATATAAAGTATAAACTTAATAATATAATAAAATTAGATTGTTTAGGATGTACATTATTCAAAAATTAATTTGCTAACTTTTTAAAATTAATTTTGCGTAATAAAAAGAAAAACATTTTTGAAAGTTTAGCTACAGTGTAAATACATATTAAAACAATACAAGTTTTAATAATATTATTACTCATTTTAAGGAAAAAAACATGTAGTCTACACAGAATAAAACTAAAAAACAAACAACAAAATCATATTTACTATTTTTAAGGGCTTAGCACGAATAATATATTTAGTTACATTTATGAATATGTTAATTTTAAAATTCAATAAAAGTTTTGTATGGGTACAGAATAAGTTTAGTTTTAAAAATTAGTTTAGGTGTAATGATAGTCAACACGAAGTAAGCAATATAATTGAGAAAAGTTTTCTAGAATATATTACTATATAAGTACTAAGTAGAGATGATTTCTATTAGATTATATAGAGACATTTTAGAAATAAGGAACCTTTTTGTTGTTAAGTGTGCATAAATAAAGAGAATAATTACTAAATTTAAAAATAGATTAACTTCTTTATAATATGGTGGTTCGTGCATACTCAAGTTTTTTTACACAATGTCATAAACGCTTAAATATTCTATTATATTTTATTAAACATTTATACAGTCTTTCATAGTTTCATGATAATAATATTATAGGTTCTTCAATTCAAGAATCATATAATAATTACTACCTATTTTAATTGGATGCAATTGTGTGTGAATACCTACACTGTAATTATTGAATTCTATTCAGTTTTAAATATATTGTATAGACTATGGTTTTGGCATTCAATTTATAGATAAAATAAAATTGTTTTATACACATTGTAATGGCCGTATTTGCACTTTTTGATTCGACTTTTGCTTAGTACGATATTATTATTATTATTATTATTATTTTTTTTTTTTGAAATATGGACAATTGGAGAACTGTATACAAAAGTGTACATGTTGTACTGAAAGTTATGTTCTTAATAAAAAGAAATCAATTTTAAAATTATATTGTAATCTAGACTCTAGTGAATCATATGTGTTGTTGGTACCTAAACATGTCTGTGTTTTAATATGACTACGTTTTCCCATAACAATATTATAAGCATTGCCGCTTATTAATAATAAAATTTCAAAACGGCAGTGGCGGTGTTGTGTGTTCATATTTCAACGGAATTGACAAACTTTGCTCATAACACGTCTTGTATAACTTACATACCTACAAATAATATTGTAGTGGTAGGAAATATATGACTCAACAATAGTATTGTTATTATACCCCGGTCATATTAAAAAAATCCGAACTATTCTCACAATAAAAACAACCAGGCACGCATCAAATAAAAATAATAATAATAAAATAAATATACAAACGTATAAAGCATACACGTAAGTGTTTTAACGATAGCTACCTACCCGCACTTGAATTATCGTTGTCTACACCTAAATATATGTAGTATACCCATCTGGATATAAATAACTCAATAACTCTATGTCTTTATATGCGAAGAGCGTGCAAATCTCTCCAAGCAGAAGGCGGAGTTGTAAAAAGCGCGCTTTAGTCGAAACGAATGGACTGACATTAAACGCAAAAGTTATTTGCTGCTATATGTTTCACTACAAAGGGCTAAAATAGATAGCCGCTAAGAAACTCTATCCTACAGGTTTAATTGATTAATTGTAGGTTAGTTACGACTAATGGCAACGGATTACTTTTGGATACTTATCAAGCTATCTCTCTCTCTCTAACTTAAAACGATTCGTGTATAATGCTTATCCTAATTCCCGCCTACAGCAAAATGTAATTATTTATGTCATCGATAACATAACAAAAATAAATATAATTTGGTGAGTTTAACAGCTGTGTGTCATTTTTTTTCAATGTTAAACTACTGTATTTTTTAATTTTTCCCTCGAGAAAGTTTTATAGGTGCACACTTCGTACAAACGATTTTACCGTTTCAAATATTTTCTCTTGTCCTCAATGAGTCATATTATTTGATACGAATGGATTGCAGTTCAAAGAACCCACTAGGCTTAGAATAATAATGCATCCGGAATAAAAATATAATACATTACGTGGTTCATAGTCACTTATTTATAACGTCACATCTATCAGCTTACACATATGACTGTCCAATAGAAAACCAATTAAATTACAATAGCAACCTTATCCTTTGATATGAGATTATGAACCTAGATTTAAATTACCGTAATACTTTTTTATATTTAAATTTTATCATATTAACAATGTTTAAATAAATATTTATCTAATGCCCCTTTTAACTTATGTGAATTAAATTATTTGATATAATTAATAGTTAATTGATAAAATAAAATAATATTATATTCTAACTATTAAAAAATACTATTGTAGAGTACTAAAACAATAATGTTATGTTTAAATTCATTAAAGGTCAAACATCTTAAAATGATATGTATTCACGTAATTTTTCATCGTGTTTATAAATCATAGTAAAAGAAATAAAACAATATTCAATTATTTCATAACAATAATTAATATAATATTAAATATTTAAGTTTTCGAATAAATTGTGTTAAATTGTTCATATTATGAATCTTAAAGAAAAAAAAAATTAATATTGACTCTCAGCTTACTTCTTAAGTCATTAAACGAATTTTTTAAATTGTCGTTTAAGTACTAATAAAACACCCGGAACCATCATGCTTTCAACAACACTTAACTTAATATAGCCATAATAAATATAATAAAATCACTCTTACTCTGTGTCGTAATTGTCCACGAGTTTCACTACTTGACGGTCTTAAAAAAATATCGAACTTAAATTCGCGTGTTAAATTTAATCATCACTCGTTGAAAAACAACAAACCACTGGACACAGCCCTCGTCGCTGCAGGTGAGAGACTACCGCGTTGGTAGTCAAATTGATCGATTTAGTGCTAACCGGACGGCAACGATGGGTGAATTGGTCAAAAGAAGTGTATGCTTTTTTTTACACGTTATCAGCCTCTGGCGGTGTTCGGCGCTCACACTCGAACTTGGTTGTTGGAGATGGTACGGACCGTTATGTACGTACTGACACACAATATCCGATCCCTCTCCCCAAGCGACCRCGGTGTATACGCTACGAATTTTATGATGATAATAGTAAAAATATTATATACATATTATAATAATAATGTTACAATACGGTGATCCGGAATAAATTGTCGGCAATAGTACCTTATATAGTTTTGACGTACACGCGCTCTGCAGTAATGTAATATTGTATATGATCGGTCTGGATTTTTTTTCCACACACAAAAAACTACGAACGCATAATATTATTATTGTTAATAATTGTCAACCGGATCAGACGCACTCTGGGGGCAAAAAAATAACCACGTTTAACTGTGGTATAGGCAGTATTTTAGTCTCGGGACACACGGTTTCTTCCAGTTTAGATATGCTCAGCTATTAAAGATTGTACTACGAACCAGCGTGACAATTATAACCGCCGTTATTTGAACTTGTGATATTGATGCCGTCTATAAACGACAGAAAACAACAAGCTTTAATAAACCGTCGGTCGAAATCTCGCACTGTATCCACCATTCACCTTTCTATAAAATATGTACTATGTATACTCAGACACGCAGTCGGTTTGAGGCGCCCACATTGAAATATGTGTAGTATTATGTAGCGGACGGACCATACACAGTCAACATTCGATATCGACAATGATCCTGTATTGGTTATATTGAAAATATCAAAATAATTTTTACACTTGTTGATAGGTTTTTATTGACACTAATAACATTGATCGTGGGTGAATCGCTTAAGGTAGGTACGTGTAATACACGAGAAGGACGATGAAAACGAATTACGATCAATAGACGATATTATAATACTTCGGAGCTGAGAAAAACGGTGTAGACCGGAGACGATAATATAATAGAATACCTATAATATACAGTGGTACTAGCGTACTACCGTATCGTATCGACTACTGGCGGGTCTAATATAATATATTTTGTAATCGGGTGGGCGTTCGCCCGATGTTTCGGATGTATAGAAACGTAATGTCACACTTGAACACAAGAAGCTCAGTAATAATATTATACGACAGTGACCGCCGACCGGTCGACGGTCGGGTCTGTGTGCGATGCCCCACTTTACGAGAAAAGCGGTTCCGTCTGCGATGGCCGCCGACAGAGACCTACTTCTTTTTACCTATATTATAGATGGTAGATGTGGCTCATTGTTAAGGACGTTGAGGTCATGCGACGTGTAAACACAACTCGCGCACCGGTGCATTTAGTAAACATTATATTTTGTGTTACATGCATCACGGTTCACGCTGTATGCATGATGAGAACGATTATGTTTTGGAACAGTTTCGATTACAACTATCCGGCCTGCATTCCGCAGGCAAACGTGCATACGCACTAATTATAATAGGTAACTATTATATTATTATGTATTCAGCATCGAAATGATATTTATAATTAGGTACTAATAGGGAAGAGTACTACAAAAAACAATAGATATGAAATCATCTGTGTTCTTATAAAGTGTGCACTTATATTTAGTGGCGGTTTAATTATATTGCCACGTGGGTTTTAACATACTCTATTTAATCATTGCAAATACAATCATTTAATTATAAATTCAAACAAACTTGGATGTTTTTTCTAGTCTTAGTCTAACTTTTTGACTGTTGAATAATGTAGTGTTCGGTCACTTGAAATTATTTTCATTCCCTTATTTGTACTTGAACAAATTTATTATTGCGAKAGTAATGCATCAATGCATCAATGCTAGGTCATTACTAATTATATTAATTCTTGGTTTTGATTGATGATAAAATAAAATATATGCCAGGTACAGTTTTGAAAATGACTGTTTTTATAAAATAATTGCCAATTAAGTATTAGGTATACGTATTTCTATACAGAGGTGTATATACCTATCACAAAATATTAAATAATAATATTATTTTAMAATTCATCAAAATAATTTGTATTTTATTACTAATAATTATTAATCAATAATAAATATGTAAATTATGATAATTCGTATTTTTTTTTTTTTGTATAAGGATTGAGTGCGTGTACTTATAACATTAAGAACCACCAGTTTGAAATCAGTACCCTTGTAATTTAAGTTAATAATAACATCTTATTTTGTATTTATAAATTAATATGTACAGTGTAAACGTAGAACCATTGTTACCTATATGCGTGATAATTGGAGAGAGAGGGCAATGCTTCATTGTGTAATGACTAATAACTAATACACTAACTGAACAAAATAGGAGGTTTCAGTACCCACAAAATGTTTTCATTGAAATCGCACCTTTATATCCAATATAAAAATAWTTTTTTTTTATTAAAGAAATAACCCTCGGCAACTTGGCCATTGGGATAAGATAATTTTATTTTTTTGATAGATGTTACATAATAATAATAGAAAAGTTTTAATAACAATAACAATAGCAATAAATGCCTAAATTATATAAGTATAATTATAATAAGGTTGTGTGTTTTTTTTTTTAAATGATTAAATAAGTTTGTCCAGTCCTGTCTCCTGGAGAAACACGAATATATCTGGTCATTGCAGAACAGATCCCATTATATCGTATAAATCGCAAATAAATTTCTTATTTTAATTGTTAATTAGAATCATTCTATTTTAATTATAATCCAAGATACTATTGTATATTTTATAATATGAGTACTATTTAGTGTTTATTAATTGTTTAAGTTATAAACAATTAATAAAATAATTTTTTTGGTATAAACAATTAATAAAATAATTTTTTTGGTATAAAAACAGCAATCCAAGTTTGAATAATGGTATCATTAAAAGAAAAGTTAAACGAATTAAATTACCAATAAAATACTATTAAACGAAAATATATAAATTTCACATATTTAAATATTGTTCTCGAATTAATATTCATTCTTTGTCAATTAATGCCATATTAAATGATTATCATTTTCTTGTGCATGTTTTACTATTTTTATTTATCATTGTAGCCTACGTTGACAAAATAAACATGAGCCAAAGAATCTAAACCAGCATTCCGAAAAAAAAAATCGTATATCTATCAAATGAAAACACAACACATTGTTGTCGCAAGTTGCATAAACACTAAATATACACGTAAACCCTCATCTATGTTATGTAAACTAAACAGACAAACAAGGTGGCTATATTGGCCTTCCAGAAGTATGATATTATTTTTATAATTTTTGGTCGTAGGTATATGTTTTAATGTTTAGAGACGTATTTTAATTACATAAAGAGTGATAACAGTATTTAAGATTCTTTTGAATTGTCTCATTATGATTCTTATTTTAGTCGATATAATTATTACCTAATTATAATACTTCTATTATGTACACCAAATCATAAGAATAATTATAATATTCTGTGTAAGTATAAATTGTATAGTAATATTGATAATAACAATGATATGATTATTATATAGGTATTAATAATATGAAATGTTTAATTTAGCGTCGATAAACATATTTTTCGATATCTATACCTTAGCCTTAATGATATAAGTGGTTTGATACATTTACCACATAACTGTAGGTACCCCTCGCTGTCGGATTAAAAAAAAAAATAACAATACAACTCGTCACCAAATCGCGGACAATGACCCGGTTGTCAAATTTGAAAATACGTCAATTAACTCGGTCAACGTCGACCTATGGAGAACTCACAGCGTGGCGCGGCTTATCTCATGAAAAGTTAATTTGCTAAGATGTTTCGTGCTCGTGACAGACAGACACTTAGAATGTATAATAATACTATAATTATTGTTTTGACAAATCGATGTGACGTCCTCGAGTGTCACACGGCGTTATATTATTATCTCTCTATCCGCAGTGTGTAAACGTAACGCATGCTTCCGCAACACCAACACTAATTGTTGGAGCCACTCTGGGTCAATATCAAAGTTAATTGACCTGTTATTGATTTTATGACCAAAACAGTATCGGTGACGTATAATCATACGAGTAAACTGTCGAGTTTCTGTACCATTCGATATTTTAATTGTGCAACAAGCCGAATGGCATAATGCCGATGACATCGAGTTGGTATCTTCTTGGAGTATTTTCTATTACATATCGGAAAGTTATTGATCAGTAGCTATAGTATGGTAACCTATACGTTCGCACAAATAAAATTCTAAATATCATGACTTAATATTTTTGGATTTGAATTTTTTTTTGAACTAGTCAACTGTTATTAAGTAGTAAGTACCCGCGTAAAATCCTCGTTGGTTCTTTCGATGGAGGTCATTCGATTTTTAACAAGTAATAACGTGCCTTCCCTGACAATTGTTGTATTTTATATATGTAATGATTAATGAAGTAATGAATAACTAATACAAAATTTAATTATTATTATTAATAATAACATAATATCCTACGACCGACTGTGCTATTACTGGTATTATCCAATCCACAAAATGCGTCCAATTGAACGTTATGCAAAAAATGAATCTTATATTAAATTATTAAATTCGTATGTATCATAAATAATAATTATTCAAAATATGATGTATAATTTTAAATTGACCGGATGGGTGTTCATAATGTGTGACTAAGAATACTTCGTATAACTGTATTTTAATTTATTGTATGTTTTTTAATATTTTAGATTGATGTATATACTATATATATATACACAGTGATTTTTAAATATGTAGGGAAAGGGAAGGTGCTTTGGAGCTGGAGCACCCACTGTTCTACTTATTAAACTTCTACCTAGATATCAGTTATCATTACTTATCACGTAAAACTAAATGTATTAATATAGACCGTACTATCAAAGAATTTGTTTTTACTCGGAAATTACTATCTAAGTATACCTAAGAAGCATTAATATCATAATAACATCTACCATAAAATTACCATAATACCATAGATCCTCTACTGCTGTCGAGTATAGTTATTAGTTGTTATTATTATTAATACATATATTTGTACATTTCCTGATCTATTCTGTGATTTAATTAACATACCTATAGTTTAATTTACATTCTGTACGTAAATTACTAAAAAAAAGTGTACTGTGAAACTACACATTTCTTAATTATTTAAATTATAATTATATAATTAATAACAATAACAACAACAACAACAACAACAACAACAACAATAATAATAATATTTTTATATGATTATGTTATTAGTATTATGTTTGATTCACATCATGTTGTAGATTTTAAACAGACAAAAGAGACTAGGTGTTATTGATTTTTTAGTCATATTATGATTTTGTTTTTAAAATAATATTATGGAAATCAAAAAACTGTCAAAGTTAAATGTAGAGAATGATTTTAGCTGGGAATGTAGTATACATGATAATA